CCATTTATCATCAACAGTAGGAGCTCCTCGAGAACAGCAATCAACTTGTCAGAATTGCGTTGGTTGGCCGCACACGCCTATGAAAGAACGCTATACTACCTTGCGAGTACTTCCGACTGTATTACATTCTCGATGCGTTTCTGTAGCTCCTGTTGTGTCGGTGGTACCCCCTTATCGTAGTAAATGAGGAGAGTGCATCCCTGAGGCCCTCCAGTCTGCTGTGGCTCGACTGGGCTGCTAGTGGGAGTGTCCGACATGTCGCCACTGATGGTTTTCGAAAAATATAATTCTATAACGAGAAGTGATTCCTCTTGGAAAGAGCACCTGTCCACGGATAAGGAGAATGATGGTCCCTTACGATGATGAACAGATCCCTTGCTCGACTTGCACATTCTTGTATTTTCTTTCCCGATTTTTGTCACGCGCCACGAAATTCGTACTCGTGACGAGGAACAGCGTATCTTCACGATAAAGGTATAACTAACCTAGTGTAGGAGCATACCGATAAAGGTGGTCTTAGAAAAAGAGATGATGATTGAATAACTAATTGAAGCCGTGCCGGTTGCATTGAATTTTCACACTGTGAGTGGTGTCCTATCGTGGTCGGCCTTCCTGGCTGTATAAAGAGTCGTTGGTTGGTCGATTCTATTATCTCACTTGTGCGGTTTGCCCTTGTTCTTCTGCTGGCCAAAGTTGGACTAAGGAGAGGTGATCTACTCTAATAAGATAATACCGTCCCTAGCTGACTCAAGGCAATACCCTCTCAATACTATCATCATCATAAACCATAGTGTCCACTCATGGAACTGCGGTACTGATTTACAGTATACATTCAACTATGTACTGAACTCAAAGATAATTACACTAAGCGGCATAAGATCGTATCCTACCGTAACAGCGTGAACGTCAGGCGGACGAGGGTTCTAATGGTATTCCATGTATGGTACCCGAGTATCACACTGAGGTCCTAGAATATACTCTCAGAGATTCCCAACAGTCTCTTCACTGATCATGTGTTACACTGGCTTTGTACTGAGCTCTTCAATTTAGTCTTGATGTGACTTATATCGAATGATAGAGTATCCGAAGGTTGATCGAGCTAGATACCAATGAGGTTAGGTTCGGTTCCATGTTGCATATGCGTGCAATCGTCGCCGTCTCAAGTTGACCATAGTCCCGTTTCAATATTATCTCTATCACTTCACCGATCGTCACGTTACGAGCTTCCCAGGAATCTTCCTGTTAGTTGTACGTATATTCCTTAACCTTAAACTACTGTTACTACTATGGAAGAGGCAAGGGCCTTGCTCGATCAGCTCATGGGTCGCGACAGAAACGTTTCTGCGGCAGAAAAAAATACGAGTGAGGAGAAAAAGATTAACTGGATGACGCAGACGCGATACTGCCCGTACTTTCTGGTGGATTTCTGGTACGTTACCTTCGGGCGCTACCTCTACGCGCACTTCTTAATGCTCGCACTTTATAGACCCGTGTGCATCGGAAAGTGTGCCTGTCGCTGTGTTCGGGGTGAGAGAGCAGTGTACCGAGTAGTAGAGCGTGCAATAGTCGTTCATCGTTATATAGCTCATCGAACGCGTGATGGGGAGTATCTATGTCATGTGAATTGGGGGTATACTCTTATATGCAATGACTCAGATGTGATTAATACGGGCTTACTTTTCATATGCACATTTTCACGTACATTGTTTATTTTTCATATTCGTATATCCCTCGGCATTATGTTGCACTAACTATGAAGAGGCAGCTTTTACTGAACTCATCGGTCCTGTTGTGGACTTGTTTCTCGGTGCGCCTGTAGTAGGTGGGCCTGCTGGGAGTACGGTCTCCTTGATCAGCCCTAATGATCTATTCGTGAACACGAGAGCTGATATGGGTATGTGCAATAAGGAGCATTGCGAATACACCAAGTCACGCTTTGATAAATGGGAAGACTGTGCGGAAAAGAGAGCTGTGGTTGATAAGTAGGTTGATGGGAAAATATGTGTGTGGTCTTCAATCTTCTTGTGGAGAGCTGCAATGGAGTCGTCTTCACTTCCGCTGCTGACTGTGGTCTCTCGAAGGTTGTGATAGCACGGCGACAGGTACTCTCGAGAGCTATTGAGCTTCTTGGAATATTTGGAGACACAACTGGCGCATAAGATAAGGAGAGGTAGGTGACGGAAGAACGTCACTTTTGAGCGGACCGTACTCGTTTCGAGCTGGTTGTAGTAGTTAGTTGTTCACTGCTATACGTATCCAGTTATTGTTCAGCTTGAGGCATCCAGGGTCATCCGTGTTGTGCTGCAGGTAAGGCTCGAGTCAGTGCCGAGATACCTGACATAGAAGTTCCACCACAGAATAAGGAGCAGATAGAAGAGCTAAAGGTGAGTTGAACGAGGAGTGGTATGAGTGATTATGCGTTTGAACTGCTCTCAGGGCCGTATACACGGTATCGTGAAGGAGGCTGAGGAGCTCGCCGAGAAGGGTAGAATTGTCGAATCCGAGAAGAAGATGGGACAGGTTGGTCGTTATCGAAAGCCTCCTTGACCGCCACTGTGGTGTCAGACGGAGTCGTTGAACGCTAAGATTCGAGAGTTGAGCGGGGAGAAGTATATGATGATGACTCGAACTGAATTCGTCTGTGACGTTTGCGGAGTTCTTGTTACACTTAATGAGAACGACC